TGCACACCTGTAATCCTAGCATTTGGGAGGCTGAGGCAGGAGGATTGCCACAAATTCAAAGCCAGTGTGGGCTACTTAGTGAGTTCAAGGTCAGCCTGGACTACATTGCCAGACTCTGTTTCAAAAACAAGAAACAAAACTACATAGCAGATCAGAGTGGAGACATATAAGGACCAGATGGCTTTTGGTGTATCAGATCAGAGTGGAATGGGCCAGAAAAGTGTGCCTGTTCAAAGAAGGGCTGGACAGTAGTCAAAGCATAAAAAGGTGAGGAGAGAGCCTGCATGGGCACGCTCATTCTAACATTCCTTGGGTAGGAATAGAGATGAAACCTGGGCTAGCAGATGTGGAGTCAGTTCTGCTGCTGAGGCTCCCCCTGTTGCGGGGAGGCATGGATTTGACTCCTTGACCCTATTTCATGCTGGATTCAGCTGATCCCTTTGTTGTTCTGATTCTGTTCTCACCAAGCAGCCTCCTATTGTACCTGGCTGTGCCTCACAGGCCTCTCTCTACAATGGTGTAACTCCCTGATGGTGCAGAGAGATGTGCTGTCTCTGGGACATTCTGATTTTGGGTCAGTCCTGTGGTATTGATAAGGTAAGACTGCTGCAAAGGGAAGGAGTGAGTTCTATATGGTGAGAGCAGAAATTTGTGAGCCCCAGAAGCAGGACCATCATGGGGCCATATGTTTGCAATTCAGTTGCAACCAAAATCATGGAAGGATTAAGTTCATCAAATGAAGTACCATTCTGAATGTCTGGGAGTAGTGTCATATGCCCCAGATCCTAGCAGTCTGGGAAGCTGAGGCAGGAGGAGTGCACATTCCAATACAGCCTGGGCAATTTAATGTCTTAGCAGCACCCTGTGTCCAAAACAAATAATCTATCTCAGTGCAAAGGCCCTGAGTTTAATCCCCAGTAATGGATAAAAAAATGTTCCAGCTACATACAAGACTCTAAGCAAGGTGCTTTCAGAAAGTCAGTGAACTATGATGAACAGGGTGGAATTTTGTCTCTAAAAAATTATGAGAGACAGGCAAGCTGCACTTCCTGAGAAACAAATCCCCTTGCCTCTACCTTTGCATGACCTTTACTTCAACCCTATTCAGTGTGATATGCAGTGTGGCTGTAGAAAAGCAGATATTTTCATAATAGGCCAAAAGAATGTGACTGAGGCCAGGTACCTTGGAGTCTCAGCATAGCAAAAGGTCAGAACTCCCTCCTGTTGACAGCTGAAATGTGATTCAAGCAAGAGCCTGTGAGACTCCACCCTTGAGAAGTGAGGTAATAGCTCAGCTCAGGCCATGGGACTCAGAAAGAATTATAACTCCCTGGCAGTAAGGTGCCAACATTGCATACATCAAGCTATGTGTTGCGCTGCTACTTGAAGGGCTTCTTTGCCTGGTACAAAATTGCTGTTTCTCTTTACAGCTACTGCCTGTAAACTTTCTCTTCCTTAGTATTCTGCTGCAACCCCCACCCACCTTCCTAATTGATACGAATAAGAACCTCGTGCTTTTGGACTCAAGGCCCTTTCTTTCCCAGAAAGCATTGAGTCACGCCAGAACTCCTGAACTGCAGAATATTCTTTTGTCTTTCTTTTGCATTTCTGTGTCATATTGGCAGGTGGGAAACTGAACCCTGTCTAGGGGTTTTGGTAGAAAAGTTATCATCACACTGAGGAATAATACTTAAGATAAATAAAAGGAGTGGGTAATATCTGGGAGATGATGGTGGATACTCAAGACTGTGTTTTCTTCCAAATTGATTTATTGTCATGTAAGACCTTTACAGTAAGTTGAAGGGTCCCCGTTTAATGTGAGTCTGCCAATCTTCAAATGAGGACTTCAGAACTAGAACTAGAACTAGCAATTGAACTAGAACTAGGAATTGAATTAGAGGAGAACCTAGAACTCATCTAGTCCTTGGATCTCACAGTGCAGAGCCTACCACAGTGCAGAACCCTTCCTTCCACTGAGGTCTCACCTGGCTCCAGCAAAGCTGAGATGGGCTGGGGGGAGCAAGGAGGCACGTGCTGTCACCTGCTGACGGATATGGGTGCAGCTGCTTCTGCTACGGAGAGGCATTTTGGGGCTGTGCAGGAAGCCAGGGTGCGAGGTTGGGGCTAGAGGAAGGTGGAGTATGTGTCCTTCTTCAGAGAGGGAGGAAGCGCACATCTGATGCTTCCAGATCCCTTGTGATCCTCCTCTGTTCATTTACTCAGGCCTCACAGTCTTCT